TAGAAAAATGAATTTTCGCTATATCGATGACTAAATAGATCAAGAAGATGAAATAAAAGAAGAAGATGCGATATACGCTAGATGTCTACTAGGATGTATCTCATCAAGCAAGCATCCGAGAGAGTTATGGCTGGAACAAAAAATTTTCAAATTAGATTCTGCATCAAATAGAACCCATAGAACTCTGCAAAAACTCATAGTTAGCGAGGAAAAGTAATTACTGTTTTTCTCAGCAGTGAGACATCGTGGACTTTCGAGCACACAACAAAAAATGCACAGAACCAAATTCTAAATAAAATAGAACACCACCGATTCTCGTATAGTTTTCTGGGAAAGGCGTTAATTAGCGAGAAAAACGCTAATTTTGATAATTAGTACCTTTTACCCAGAAGGAAACATTTGGCAAATTTGGTGCTGCAAGCAAAAATGTCAGAAATTAAATTTCGCACATTTTATCTGCTGGTACCAACTTCGTACGATATTTTCGCCACAAGAAATAACTTTCTTGCCAGAATAGATTTTTCTTGCAACAGCATAGTTGGTTTAAACTATATTTATTTGAAGATAAAGAAATCCTAATAACCCTCGAACTAAAGCGGCAAATTGCCATTACATAGTTCAAGGAGTTATTTACAAGGTGTTACTCTTTTCCATAAGAAAAACAACAGCATAGTTTTCTTGACCCAAGAAATCCCAAGAATTATTTCTTGGCCAAGAAAAACGAAACAAACATTCTCTTACTTCACCCACCAATTCACCTCGATCTTCGACTGAGTCATCCAAAAGAACTTCACGATGAATGTGCGAGGGATCCTTCCAATGAGAAGAAAACATGTGACTTCTGTCCCCGCCACTCCAGTGGATAGACCAGCTAACTCCCAGAATCTCTGCGTCAGCTCAGGAGGGAACAGAACACAAACATAGATCATCGATGAGACTGACCAATCGAGGGGATCAGAATGCAAGGCAACATCAATGGAGTGAGCAGTTAATTCCCTGAATTGCAGACAGAGTGAATAACAAGGAAGATACCGGAACCAGTGACTACGGTCCTGAACAAGAGGAAACCATCGCGAGGAACTTCTCTATAACAGAAGACATCAGATCAAACGGATCGAGCCTGTCACTCAGACGACGTAAATCAACAGACTGAACAGACAAAAACAAGAGTATACAAACGTCGATACAGAAGAGGAGACCAATAGAGAGAGACATATTCAGCATCTACCACTGTCCATCCTCCGAAAGAGAAACAAGAGGAACCGACTATAGTTGACGGCACTGACCATTTCCGGTGACGCTGGATGAATGGACTAAGCCCCATTCGAAAAGATCGTCGTAAGTCGCTTGGATTCTATCTCGTATGTAAACTCACCCACCCTCGGCTTTCCTGGCTGATTAAAACAAAAGAGAAAGAGGCTAATCGCAGTACCTTTTTTCTTTTATTTGGTTATTTTAGCGTGCAAAATCTCTCACTTCTTTCACCTAATGTGGAGGTATCTACACGCTCATCGCACCGAGTGGTGCAGCGTTTACTCTATAAGGGTCATGAAACTTGATTCTGCAAAAGACTGTGCTTTTTGAGCAAATGCAAAACATGTCTGCAAAATATTTCCTTTATATCATACAATCAAAATAAGAACTAAAATGAGTTTCACAGAAGTCAACCGATAGAAAAGGGACAAAGTACACGAAGAATGTCAACGGTAATGGTGCTGTTCATAGTTTTGAGAAGTGGCATAGTTAGGATTTAAACGATATACTGGTCGTGCGCTGAAAGTCGTAGCATTAAAGTTCCTCTCCTTAATTTGAGATATTTCGCTTTCTCGATGAGCCATTGCACGAGCTGCAGATGCAACTGCAATGGCTTTATCTTCTCTCGTATAGTGTAGTGTCGTAGCTTCTTTGTCCGTAGTATTTTTGGTTGCTATTCGCTGTTGAATGTCATTTGTTAACTGTTGATGTTTATCACGATGACCATTGGCTACTCTTTGTTTTTCATTGATTTGTGTCTGAAGTGGAGTACGTCGCGTATCGAGATTGTTTAGTTTGGTTCGACTTTCATCGACAAGACGTTCTTGGGCCTAGAACTGACATAGTTTCAAACACTTTAACTTGAAAAGGGCAAACTTACATGAAACGCAGCTTTATGTTCTCTCATCGTCTCAGTTAAGTTTCGTGTTTCTGTATCATTGTCCCGTAAACGAGCTTCATTATCATTAATCAGTCCACGTACTCGATTCCACTGTGCACTTCGCTGTTGTTTGCTCGTTTGACTGGCTTCTGCCATTTGTCGTTTATTCTTCACTTGACTATCAGTATTCATCACTTGTGCTTCTTTTGCCAGCACTGCTTGATTCTGAGCCTTCAACTTCTGTTTGAGGTCATTTTGCTGTTTTTCCATTTGTTCACGATTTGATTGGGCGGTGGCCAGCATTTTCTTAATACCACTCAATTTTTCTTTCACTCGATCCATTTCGTTGTTTTGATCTCGTAGTAAACTCTGTTCTCTACCAAGATCTTCTTGCAATTCTGCCACACTTTTCTGTGTCATACGAATGTCTTCTTCGACGGCAGCCAGTTTGTTCTTAGCGGCGATTGCTACTTGTTCTTTCTCGATCAGTTGATCATTCTTTGCGGTTAAATTCGTTTCATGCTGCTGGAGTTGTGTAGTTTTTGTGGCCAGTTCTGTTTTCTTTTTTGTACAAGTTGCATTAGTCTGTTGTTCGGTATTCACAGCTGTGGTATGCTGTTGATCGGCATTGACTTTAGCTTGTTTTGCATTGTCAAGTAGTGTCTTTTGTTCGGTTTGCCTAGTTTGTAAATTTTGATGTTCTTCAGTGAGTTTGATGATGAGGTCAACTTGAGTTTGCACTTTGGCTTCTTCACCTTTCACTTGTTCTTCTTTGTTCTTCTGAGTGTCTGTAGCTTCTGTGAGACGATGAGTGAGATCATCACATTTCTGTCTCTCTCGACCAACCACATTTTCCTGTTGAGATGTTCTTCGTTCAGCATCTTCTCTCTTTCGTATTTGTTGTTGCCATTCATTATGACGGGTTTGAAGAACTTGTTGTTCTTGCCTCAAAGTAGTGTGAGCTTGTTCTTTATTTCTTACTGCCTGGTCGTGCGCTAACTTCTTTTGGTCCTGTCTCGTTTTTGCCTGTTGAACCGCTTGTTTGCTCGATTCCAGTTGACTTCGAAACATCTGAAGGGCTGTCTCGGCAGCTGCGACTGCTGTCGCTGCTGCACCCACTCCGAGACCGAGAGTGCCTACTGCCGCGGCTGTTGCTGCGATCTGAGCCATGCGAAGGACCATTTCAAGACTTCTCATTTGAGCTTCATCGGCTCTCAAATTTGCTTCAGCATCGGACTGAGCTCTCTGAGCTTCTTGAAGTTCTCGTTGTGCCGTACTCTCTTCTGTTTCTCGTTGTTTGGCCATCCGTTCCGCTTCATTCACTTTGTTCTGTTGATCTTCATAGGCCTTTTGTGCGGTATTTTCCAGTTCTTTTTCACGTTGTAATTCATTTTTGAGTTGTTCGAGCAAATCAAGAGCTCGTTGCAGCTGCTCTTTTGCACTGCCGAGTTCTTGAGTCAGTCTCTTTACTTCTGCGACTGCCTTGTCTAATTTTGCCTTCTCATCTCGAAGTCCATCTTCCAGTTGACCTTTCACAATATTTTCTCTGTTTAGTTCGCCTTCTTTTGCTTTGAGATCACGAGATGCGTTGTCGAGTTCTGTTTGTAGTCGTTGAACTTCTTCAGCTGCGAGTTTGGCTGCTTCTCTGTCAATGAGAATGGAGAGTGAGTTTATCTTTGTAAAGAAAGTAGTTCAGTTGATCTTTAACCTCTTTGCGCTCCAAAAACTGAGAAAAATGATGTAAGTGTTTTATTAAGAAAACTCTCTTGAACCCCGTGTTGTTTTAGAACCAGGATTTTAATAAGTTCCGGGTACGGTAAAGATATCGTTTGAAAACTGGTATACAAAGAGGAAACCGTAATTTTCATGTGAAAGTTTGTGAGCTTAATGAAGAATTAAGTGGCTTCTTAAAAACCTCCCATATTCTGGAAAGATTTTGAAAATTTCACATTGATATTCCGAAAAAAATTTACTTTCGAAACGAGCACAACAATTGTGGTGAAATTTCTGGAAAAGTCTTTCTGTTTTTGAATATCAGGGAGAATAGTAATTATGAATAAGACCCTACAAAGACTGTTAGATGTAGAACTCAAATTTGATATTTTGTTTAAATGTAGCGTCGACCGGTGGTTTCAAATCGCTGGAATTATTCCAGGCATTCTGAATTCTCGGCTTAAAGCAAATGATAACAGGGTAATTCCATACCATGAAAAGTCTACTACATACGTGGAAAAGTTGTATTTTCCAATTTCGATATTATGTAGCGCTAGTATACAGGAAAAGAGCTAGACAGTTGGCGAAGAGTTTCTGCTTCGAGGGAAAGGAGAGTTTATGTACTTAGTAGGTCGACATCACCAGACATAACACCCACACAGGGATTGCTGTGAAAGTGACCATGAAAATCATCGTATAAAAATCTGCACGTAAGAAGGAATCTGAATTGCTATTGTTTTCCGGGAGAATAGCTGCTCCATCAGGACATAATGGGTAGAGTACAATAGCCAAAGCTCATTCCTTTCCTTGATTTTTCAACGATAGTATTTCATAGCCAATATTACTCCCCGTTCGAACTTTCTCATGCTGCAGGAAATAACTACGCCCTAATGTCTATTTGGGTCCAAGTAGCCGCAAATGACCTTTGGCTATTGTACTGTACTTACTCTTTATTCATAGAGCAGTCGCTACCACTGAGGCCGTCTTATGCGAAGAATTTTACAAGATTATTTAGACTAACTTCTGCAGCGAGTCGCGTGTGGGTGACTAAGAGCTGAAACCGGTATGAAATTTCCAAACTGGTCCGTACCGACCGCTTTGAATTTTAAACTGGTATCGGACCGTTCGTATTATAAACTACTTCAAACCGGCGAAAAACTGATCGAGTTTTGTTCGGTTTTTTAATGAAGCGTGGAATGAACAATCGTTACAAAACTTTGTCTAGTTTGAAGTTGTAGTGAAATCTGTTATACAGTTTAGTTAGATAAGTTCGATTCTTTTTTTCAAACTTGAGCAATTCTGATGCAGTAACAAGAAAGCTTTGAAATTTCTTTGCTCACATCAGCAGGGAGAATATTCAAGTGCAACATTCCTTTGTTTTCTTGCTTCTGCCTTTAACAGTACATTGGGTTACGTCCAGTCGTGAACTTTCAGAAATAATGAAGAGAAAGGTTTTTCAGGACTTCGTTCTACTTCCAGAAATGTAAAAGAAACGACGTTTGTCGTTGTGAGTAGCAGAAGACGTCGAAGTACAAAATTTGAATTTAGAGACTGCAAGCCAAAATATATTCTTTTTGCTGAAGAAGCATTAAAAATGCTTAAAACTCGCGTCAAAAAACGAAACTTTTTTCGAGCGTAAACTGGCAAAAACCGATCTATACCGGCCGGTTTGAAATAGGGGTGTCAATTTAAATTTGTTTTTAATTTAATTTATGCATAAATTAACTTGCGCATAATTTAATTGAAAAATAAATTTAATTGTTAGAAATTTAATTTATTTTTAAATTAACAGGTAAATGACACCCCTAGTTTGAAAATCATATCGGACCGGTATACCGGTCGGTCCGTTACCGGTTTGCCAGTCCGGTTCCAGCTCTGGGGTAACCCGTTTAAGAATATCGATCTATGAAGTGTGTAAATCTCCTTCCTTAAAAGTCCTTTTGTTACGATAGGACGATCCTCCTCTGTACATATCAGCCTTTCCATTCTTTAGCTCTCCTTCATTTTGCATATTCCTGTCATGCTTGCTTCTCTGTCTCTCTCTTCTTCTCTTTGTTGTTCTGCTTTTCTAGCGAGTTCCAAGTTGTGTCATTCTTGAGAAAGGCACATACACTAGAGTACCACACTTGATGCATGTGAGAGCACAGTTGTCCTCACACCTTTCCCAAATCTCATCTCCAACTATCCCAGCTCGCTTTCAGTGTACAAGCTCTGCATAGAGTGTAAAAACGAGAATCAAAACTTTTCCACATCGTAGTAGACTTTCTATAGATTAACCCAACATCATTTGTGTCGATAGTCTTTCAGAGATCTACATAGCAATTTTGGTATTTATTTTCTGAACCTTTCTGATTTTGGTTTATATGCACAATGGAGGTATATTCAGACATTTTTTGCAGAGGTTGGGCACTTCAGGGAAGGGAAAAGAAAAATCGCCGTGGA